CATGTTGACATTTAATCTGTCCCAAATCGTAAAACAGCCTACCGGTATCCAAGGGTGCTGTTCTAATATACTCGACTTGGTGTTCTTAAGCGATCATTTTCCTGCAGATAATGCACAGGTTGAAATTCTTGAGGGCATATCAGACCACGAAGTTATTCAGGGCTCCGTTTCTATAGCTGACATCCCTATACCGTCCAACTCCTTTTCTGCCTATCTTGACTTTAACCATGCCGATGACACCAGTATACTTGATCATCTTTTCCATGAACTTGCTTCATTTGAACTACTTGCGAATGATTCAAACACAAATGTGGAAATACTATGGGCAAGCTTCAAATCAGTCGTAACACATTGCATTCTTAACTATGTGCCATCTAAAACAAAGAAAACACGAAAACATAATCCCTGGATAACGCATGAAATTATTCATTGCAAGCGTAAAGTAAAGCGCCTCAGAAAAACTTTGAAGGCAAAACCTTCTCCACAAATTCGGAACAAGTTGAGTCAAACTATTACTAAGATGAAATCCCAAATAATCCAAAGCAAACTATTTTACAAGTACGCTACCCAACTTTTTGAAAACGTCTCCCCAGAAGTTCTGGAACTACCTTAATCTCAAAAACCGTATTAGGCCCGCGGCCCTGGAAGAAAGCAAAGATAAAGCAAACTCACTAAATAACTATTTCCAATCTGTTTTCACGATTGATGATGGAAATGTGCCTGATGTTGACATTTGCAACACCCGACATATTGAACCACTTGTGACAGAGTCCGGAGTGCTTAATTTGTTGTTAAAATTAGATACTAAGAAGGGTGCCGGTCCCGATAACTTGTCAAATGAATTTCTTAGGCGATATGCTGAATGGGTAGCCAAATACTTGTGTATACTTTTCAATAAGTTCTTATCAACCTGTTCCCTCCCCCAAGAATGGAAAATCGCTAAAGTAGCTGCTGTTCATAAATCTGGTAGCGAAGCTGACCCTTCAAATTTCAGACCCATTTCACTAACCAGCACAACTTGCAAACTACTGGAACACATTATTCTTAAACATCTAACGTTGTACCTTGACCAGAATCACATCTTATCGCCACTACAACACGGTTTTTGCAAAGGACTATCTACAGTTATCCAACTGGTTGAACTAATTCACGACATCTCCCTCAATGTAGACTGTACAAAACAAACTGATTTAATTCTATTAGATTTCTCAAAGACGTTTGATCGGGTGCCACACAAAAAACTTATAAAAAAATTAGAAGCAACGATAGGCGCAGGCCCACTTACTGACTGGATCAACAATTATCTGAGTAACCGAACACAGTATGTGCAAGTCAATCGCGAAAGTTCTACCATAGCCAACGTTACGTCAGGTGTACCGCAGGGCAGTGTTTTGGCCCCCATTTTATTTTTGATCTTCATTAATGATTTACCTGCTGGCATTGGTGCTAATGTGAAGCTTTTCGCCGATGATTGTATACTTTACCAGGAAATTAACGCTTCAGGAGATCATGTAAAACTGAACAATGTCTTGCAGTTCATATCTAAGTGGTGTGCTCTTTGGCAAATGACCCTGAATGTTAAAAAATCTGCTCTCTTGAGGATAACAAGAAAAAAGCAAGTATCTGAATTTGTTTACGTTATAAATAACTCTCCACTTCCGGTAGTGACTGAACACAAATATCTAGGTTTAACTTTAACGCAAGATTTTAGATGGGATATCCACGTTAGTCATGTCACATCAGCTGCATTAAAACGGCTGTTTTTCCTTCGTAGAAGTCTCGCTTCTGCGCCACCTGAAACGAAACTCCTAGCCTACAAAGCATTCGTCAGACCTGTCTTAGAATATGCAAACGTCGCGTGGTTTCCCTTTACAAACAATCTCATAAATGCCCTTGAACGAAAAACAACGAAAAGCGATAAGATTTGTCTATAACAAGTACAGAATAACTGACTCACCCACAGAACTTTTAAAAAAAACAGGTCTCTTAACAATAAAAAACCGCACTCAACTGGCACGTCAGAAATTCCTATATCAGTTAGTTCACCAACAGCTAAACATAGACAGTTCAAAGTACATGTCATTTAAAGAAACAAGGCCAACACGACAAAAGCATTCTCAGACACTGAATGAATATCAGTGCCGGACGGACTGTCTGAAATATTCTTTTTTTCCACTAGCAATTCGCGAGTGGAATAACTTGCCAATCATTATAACAAACAGTCAATCATTGGAAACTTTCTCATCCCTGCTCGAATGTTATTTATTGTCTTCAGAATTGACAAACTCTGTTTTTTTCTTGTCCACTGTTTGAAGTGCTCACTATTCTTTTTTTCAGTACTAGTTGGAATTGATGTCCTATGCTACTGAAGGTATTTTAGTGGTACTGATGTAGTCATCAAATGTATTTCTGTTGGCTTTGTCTCACTCGTTATTATAATAATTCAGTGAGTACCCTCTGTATAAATCTTGCCCTTTCACAATGTATGTGCCCTTCCTGCAATAATCGCTAATTGGGATTGGCAGTATATGTAAATAAATAAATAAATTTCTCTGCTGTCTGAAGAGCATCACTGAAACAAATGTTAATCTAATCTTTTGTACGATTTGTTTCTTTCTACAGTAAAAAATTCGCGGTGAAAAGTCATACCATGAGGCTGCCATTTATTTCAGAGGCGATTTTATTGATATACTCCAAGAATACCACAGGGCCCGACACTGACCCCTATGGGACGCCACGTTTAAGAGCCCTGATTTAATATGGTTCACTTCTACGTATTGCGTTCTGTCATGAGGGTGCATGGTTATCCATTTCACTACTTTCTCCTTGATTCTCATCACTGTCAGCTTCACGAGCAACTATGTATGAAGCACTTTGTCGAATGCTTTCCACAGATCAAGATAAATGACATCTGTTTCTTTTTGTTGAAAGTCATGGCAAAGCCACTAACCATTTCAAAAAGCTGCGATATTGTGGAAAGGCAGTATCGAAATTCATGATGGTTGGCGATATTGTGTTTCATTTTTAATGTAAACGCGAGTTGAATGAGATACAACACATTCTAAAAGGTTGCAGCATACGTAAGTAAGCGATATCGGACGAAAAATTTCATTTACCTGCCTATCACCAGATTTTTGCGCAGGTATATCTCTTGCCTTAAGCCTATCATCTGGAATGCAGTATTCTGTGCATGATTCGACAAATAAAATCCTTATCTAATGGCTAAACCATTCCTCGTATCCGCGGAGAAATGCGTTATCTATCTTACCTGGCCCTACTGAGTTTTTAGGTTAGTATATATCAGTAGGAGCACAATTTCTTTTTGTGGGACTTCATCTACTGGCATCTTTGCCGAGTGAGAAAGTCTAGACAAAGTGAATTGTGCCTTAGATTGTGCCGGGGTACCAATCAATTTCATTAGTAATATAAGCAACCACTGCCGGGTCAGTAAGCAAAAATTTAACCACTACATTGCTGAGGGACTCTTTATCTTTTTTCGTCGCAAGACACCAAAATTTGTCATGAGACGTCGTCATAATTGTTGACATAGTTTAATGGTAACATTTGTTTCTGGCTTCAGAAATCATAGATCGTAGGTGCGCAGACAAATCGCAAGGTCTTTAGTTACTTTCCGGCTGTGATGCTTATTCGGCACTTCCGTTAAATCATTTACTTAGTTAACAAAGGGTTTCGCTTAGCGTTCCTTTTTTTATTTTTGCATAGTTTGGGCTTCTTTATACAATGTAAGACAATGTCAGTGTTCTATTGTAATATCTGTTTTTGGTTTGAGCTTTCATAGAACATAGGTGCGCAGACAAACTAAAAACTTTTGTGTGGTCTTAAGTCACTTTCCGGCTGTGGCGCTTATTTGGCACTTTAGTTAGATGATCTCCTTTCTTATTCAAGGGTTAGGTTTAGCATTCCTTTTTTTGGGATGTACAGTACACTCTCATTCAACTGAACCTGAAGGGACTAGTAAAATGTGTTCCGTTTAACAGGAGTTCCGTTTACTGAAAGATTAACAAGGCCACACAATTCAAGAACGAAACCAATCTTGCCAGAAGTATTTGTTGCATTTAAGCAGCAGCTCTTTTAAACAGATTTCTGTTTACTGAGAGTCTACTGTAGTAGGAACCATCTTATACAATGGAAGACAACTAGCTTAAACAATTCCCTCATTGGCGTGACGACACCTTGAGAATAAAAACTCTTGAGAATAAATTATTAGTAAACAATGATACTTGTGTCATCGGCAGCAAAAAAGTTGGGAAGAATCGTGAGTGATGCTATGAACTAAGAAATAACTCTGTGATGACCTGAAGTATAATGACATTGGCTGATTTGAGCATAGTGCGTTCGGGAGTTACACGTCACAGACATCCCGACATTACTGAGTGAAGACTCGGGACGGCTCTGAAAAGCCACCTGTTCACAGTAAAAAAAGTTCTCAAGGACACAACACACGCATAACGTTTATTCTTTCCTCGTGCAATCTATCAATGCCTAGCTTTTAGTACTTTTGTCGGGACAAGAAAAGTGACTAGGCGCTTGTAGTGTGCGGCAAATCTTTGTGACTAAACTGGTACTAGACCGATTTGAAAAGTTATTGCGGTGGTCGATCCGTGAAAAAAAAAAAAAAAAAAAAAAATGTGCTTCACTTATTTTATTTCATGGCTACTTCAAAATATGTTGCAGAGCTCGTTTAAAAGAACCATGAAAACAATACTGCACGGGATGCTGACCATGGTAAAAGCATCTTCGACGACCTCTCTAAAGGAAGTTCTTATTAATGGCTTCCGCGGCACCTTCAATGATTGGGTGAAGCATTGACAAAGATCTTATAAACTAAGGGATCAGTGCTTTGAAAAGTATTGAAAACATTTTAAACTGACATTGAAAAAATAATTTCTAAAGTTGTAATTGCAGAAACTTCTCAGACGTACCCTGTATGTGGTATCTTAAATATTGCAAATATGTTATTCACCTTTTGCTTTATGCAGGGCATGTGGTCGGACGACGTGTGCTTGGGATTCCTCGACCAATTTCTGTGCTTCCTTAAAGATCAAGTCCGAGAGGATGACGGGAAGTAAGTGCCAGGCGTTGAGGCCACATAGCGTCCACTGTTCCAGACATGCGCTCCGCTCCCCGAGCCGCAGCACAATTTGCACCGCCCATTAGATAAAGTAACTCTCTCTCCATGTGGAAAAAGTTGAAATGGTTGGAAAAATTATTTCAAGAAGCATTGCACGTCGCCTGGTGCGTTCACAACAGCATAGAGTAGTGTTTTGAAAAGAACCACGTGTTCAATACGCCATTTTAGACAGAATTTTCGTAGCTTACAATGAGATGCTCACTTGCGTTTACTCACATAACAACAGCGTTATATTTCATAAGTTTTACAATATGCCTTAGACACTGCATTGCGAGTGTGTCAACGTGCACGTACTTTGTATAATTATATGCTAACTAAGCGTACGCCGAAGGCGAAACCACATGGGCCAAGTTTTTCAGTCATTTTGATGCTGCTGTTCATTGAGTGCTTTTAGCTGTACACAGTATTTTTGTAACATTGGTGCCTACTGACTTGCAGGACGGTGTACCACTTCGAGTACCAGCCGCATTTGCGTAAAGTTATCTGCACCCGCCTTCCAGGCACCGACGAGTGTGCCATCCTGCCCAGCTGGTACCTTCAGGCACACGACAGGAAGGAACTCTACAGTACGAGAACACAAGACGAACCCCTTCTCTAGCTTTTAATCGCATGTCTAGTCTATAGCGAACTGCTACGAATGTATCCCAATGAGTCTCAGAATCAAAATTACTGGTTAGGAGTGTCTGACAACACAGCCTTCTGTTCACTTCTAACTCTCTATCAACTCTAAGAATGAGAGAGACAAATTTGGCACCAGTTATATTGTTCCAAAGTGCACTAGTAACGTTCCCATATTTCTAAGCGTTCGACAGCTGAGCTGGTTCGTTAATGCTACTTCTGGAAACGACAGCAGTACTACGGAACTTGAGGAAGAAGACTAATGTACATAACTCCAGTGGTGTGGCCGTCCAGCATTGCCTGCGTCTGCTTTTTTTGTGGTGCCCAGTGTGTTTTCACTGGGGTTTCTTCGAGCTACAATATTCACTACACAAAAGACTTGCGTGCCTTCGGATACTACCCGACTTTTGAAATTCAATGTTTTGTATAAGTGTTATCACATGACCTCTTCGAGACGGTCGATCACGTCGTACAGTCTTGTGTCTAGGAGTTGTTATCTCTTTTTTTTCACATTTGAACTACTGCACGTTAGTGTGGGCGACAATGACTAAAACTGATTTATGAACAATTTGATCTCTTCATAAAAATATGCTCCATATAATATATAACCTTCCTCGCAGACAGACAACAAGCCAGTTATTCATCTAACATAAAATCATAAATATTCACAACGTATACTTTTACAGGTTTTTACTCCACTCTTAGGTCGAACAAAAAGGTTTATCTTTGATCACAGTTTTCGCTTCCATGAAACGTCAATCAAAACACCTACCGTCATCAGCAACCTTGGATGCTTTCTCATGCAAGAACTAAGTTTAGCAAACAAAATATTTCTGATGAGCTACCCTTGCAGGTAAACAGACTCTATTTATCATGGGTTATCACAGCAGATATCACCCTTTCTCAAATTCTTAATAACAGTTCTGACAATTAGGATGTTATCTTCAAAATTTGTTGCTAACAATTAGTAAAAACAATAAACAGAAACAAAAGGGATGAAAATGCAATCGCCACTTTACGTAAATGATGTTTAGTGTATTTGTGATTTACATATTGTAACTTTTGATATACATTTATATCTATTGTTGTGACACTGTGTGTGTATGTTTTAGTTTTTATCACCGCAACCATCTGCAGTGAGTTTGAAAGCTTTAGAGTTCCTAATTTGGTTAATGTTTGTACTTTTGTCAGCTGTGGCGTTTTCTTGCCACCATCGCCACTGCTTTATGTATATAGGGCGTCGAGAACTTAGTAAAGCATATAGTCACATTTATTTTCACCACCTCCATCAACTCTGTATTGGGGCAAGTAAAAACATTATTATTATTATATTGTTGTTGTTGTTATCTTGAATCTTTGTGCACAAGTATGTCTTCGTGAACGTATAAACCTTTACATCACAAATTACCAATTGTATTGTAAGCCTCCAGCGTTATGATATTTTGGCAGTGAAGTTAGCTTTTATGAAGTCGCATGATTGATTGAGTGCCTTTTGGAAGATACGTAACTCTCGAATAGACTACTGATGTGTCACTTTTTTTGTATTTCTGGGTTAGGTATGCTGCACGGGGATGATGATGAGTTAAGGGCACCAGTGTCCTGCATAGTTTGAAGTGGTTGCTTTTCTGTTCGAAGTTCTTCAATATACTTGCCTGCATAAGCTACATGCTTCATCTTACTCATGGTTTAAGCCCTGACATCACGAAACACATCTACAGGTTTGATCAACCCTTTCAATGTGCTGACGAGATCCCGACGAGATCCAGCTATAGGGGGCAGCATTGTGGGAGGGTGGATAGGCAGTTGGAAGCGCGTCTACTAAAGTACGCAGCAGCGCTTTGCTGCCGGTGGTTTCATTCTATTGTCAGCAAATGAAGCACGTTGTTTGCTGTGTAAATGCGATATACACGACCTTCACTATATCAATATGCACGAATTTGGGCTAACATTCCTATTATCATCAAAATCACTAGCCTGACTACGTCCACTGCAGGACAAAGGCCTCTCCCATGTTCCGTCAGTTCACTCAGTCCTGTTCTTGCTGCTGTCAATTTATACCCGCAAACTTCTTAATCTCATTTGCCCGCCTAACAGTCTGTCTCCCTCTAACCTGCTTGCATTCTCTGGGAATCCAGTTAGTTACCCTTAATGAGCAGCAATTATCCTGTTGACGCGCTACATGCCCGGCCCATGTCTGTTTCCTCTTCTTGATTTCAACTATGATATCCTTAACCCCCGTTTGTTCCCTAATCCAGTCTTCTCTTTTCTTGTCTCTTAAGGTTACACCTACCATTTTTCTATTCATTGCTCGCTGCGTTGTCTTCAATTTGAGCTGAACCGTCCTTGTAAGTCTCCATGTTTCTGCTCCGTAGCTAAGTACTGGCAGGATACAGCTGTTATAAACCTTTCTCTTTAGGGATAGTGGTAATCTACCTGTCATAATTTGAGAGTGCTTCGCAAATGTGCTCCACCTTATTCATATTCTTCTAGTTACTTCAATATCGTGATTCGGCTCCACGGTTATTACCTGCCCTAAGTAGACATAGCGTTTTACAACTTCAAGTGGACTATTACCAATCTCAAAGTGCTGCCCTCTTACGAGGTTGTTGTACATTACTTTCGTTTTCTGCAGATTAATTTTAAGGCCCATTTATCTGCTCTCCATGTCTAACTCTGTAATCATGAGTTGCAATTGTTGGAAATTCAATGTCTGCGTCGAAGAGCAGGTTACTAAGGTACTCTCCATTAACACTTATCCCTAACCGTTTCTATTCTAGACCTCTGAAGACCTCCTGCAAGCACGCGGTAAATAGCATTGGGAAGATTGTATCCCCCTGCCCTGCACCCTTCTTGATTGGTATTCTGTTGCTTTCTTTATAAATCACTATGGTAGCAGTTGATTCCCTGTAGATATCTTCCAGGATGTTTATATATGCTTCATTGACGTCCCGATTCCGCAGTGTGTGCATGACTGCTGTGAGAGAGAGAGAATTTATTTACAGAAAGGTAGAGAGGTCGGCCTGAGCTATAGTTTGCTCTGGCCTGCTACTCTACACTGGGGAAGGGTAACTGGGGAGTGAAAGAGTGATGAATGATGATGGTAAGGTAGAGAGATGAGATGTTCTTATTAGGCTGGGTAACTCTACAGACGTGCATCCAGTTCAGTGGCTTCGTATAACCACATGTGTGCTGCTGGCGTCAGGCCAAGGACCTAACACAACCTCATCGGTTAATGGTCGACTAATATATCGGCCAATCGAAGATATCAGTTGCTGACGTTCGCTTGCATATGCTGGACAGTCGCAAAATATATGTTCGAGCGTTTCTGGCAACCGACAGTGACCACAATTGGGACCTGTGTCATTACAGCCAATCAAGTGGGTGTAACGCCTCTTGTAAGCCACACCGAGGCAAATATTGTGGATAACGAATGAGATGCTTCGCTTTAACTTGTTAGGCATACGGAACTTCATTTCCGGGTCCCATTTGTGCAGCCGCTTGTGCTGGTGTTCTGGTTTCTGCCAGTGCTCTAAGATGGAGTTGCGCATTACGCGTCGAAGTAGGATGTTAGTGTCTTGTCGAGAAAATGCGATGCACACTTCCAGGGCACTATTTAAAGCTCTCTTAGCTTTAGCGTCCGCCGCTTCATTGCCCATTATGCCACAATGAGCAGGTATCCATTGAAATGTTACATCATGTCCATTTTTTGCAGCAATGCCAAGAAGCTCTGCTATTTCAATCGATAAAGTATGATATGGACCTTGTCTCATGAAGCCATCGATGGTTTGAAGAGCAGCTTTGGCATCGCACAGTATCGTCCCTTTTATGAGCGGGTTCTGTCGACATGAAACGTATTGCCTCCCGAAGAGCAACAAGTTCCGCGGCTGTTGATGTGGTCTTGTGATCTATCTTGAAACATCGAGCTATCTTCATCTCCGGGATGACAAAGGCTGCGGTGGAGGTACGCGACGTGGAAGATCCATCAGTATATACGTGTGCCACAGCGTCATACATAGTGTAGCGGAAGCTGCTAAGCACCACCGCATTCTTTTCTATCCCGTCTGCAGCCGGCCGTCGACAGCGCGCCTACTCGCGGCGCCAGCTCCTCCTCCTCCGTGTTCGGGGAACAACGTGTTGTCGGGGCCGGCTCCGGGGATTAGACCGGCTGCATGCTACGTCTGCTCGCTCGGTGGCCCCCTTTTCCTCTTTCTTGTAGAAGAACGCGGGGGTGCCTCATTCTCTCCCTCGTCGAGGGGAGCTCTCGTCACTCGCACGGAGTGGAAATAAACAGTCTTGCCCTGCAACTCCAAACCTGCTTCACGTCTCCTTTCTCGGCTGCCTCCGGCAGCCGACATTTCCGGCCGCTACAAAATTGGTGACCCGAACGCTTCAACGAACACGCCGCGATGAGCTCCGACGACAACGCTGCTGCCTCCACGCCTGCGGTCATCGCCACAGAACTGAAGCTACCAAATTTTTGGCCGAAAAATCCAAGAGTTTGGTTCAGCCAAGTGGAGGCCCGTTTTCAACTCCGGCACATCACCTCGCAGTCGACAAAATACCTTCACGTCGTCGCAGCCCTGCCCCCCGAAATCGCCGACGCTGTCGACGACATTTTGGTTTCACCCCCCGCGCAAGAAGAATATGACACCCTCAAAAAGACGGTGCTGGACTGCCTCGAGGCGCCTGAAGAAAGCAGACTGCAGCAGCTCTTGTGTCGCGAAGAGCTGGGCGACCAACGACCTTCCCAACTGCTGCACCGTATGCGACAACTACTCGGTGGGCACGCGCGTCAGGACGGCCAGCTCCCACTTCTTCGTGAACTTTTCCTGCAACGGCTCCCCCAGTCGGTGCGCGTGGTTCTCGCGGGTTCAAATGAGACGTCCCTTGATCGACTAGCGCAACTTGCCGATCGCATCACGGAATACTCAACTCCAACCTTTGCGCCCATAGCTGCTGCAAGAACACATGAGCAACCAGATCGACTGTCGCGCCTTGAGGAGAAACTGCAACACCTTACCGAGACCATGCAGAAACTTGTGCTATCTGGCGCTCCCCAACAGGACGAGCAACGACGCAACCGATCTCCTTCAAGACACCCAAGCTCTTCCCAGAGAAGCCATGCACGAGATACACAGGACGGAGTTTGCTGGTACCACCGTCGTTTCGGCACGGGTGCTAGCCGCTGCACTCAACCTTGCTCGTTTCCGGGAAACGCTCCGGCCAGTCGTTAACGGCGGCTTACGACATCGGCCCTCCACCCAGCCGCCTGTTTTTCGTAGTCGACCGCGTAAGCAACTCGCGCCTGCTAGTCAACACGGGAGCCGAAATCTCTATTGTCCCGGCAACCCCCGAGGATCGCCGACGTAGCAAGAACACATCGTCGCTGCAGGCAGTGAACAACACTGCCATCGCTACGTACGGCTTCCGCTCGCTGACAATAGACGTCGGACTCAGGCGCCTGTTTCGCTGGGTCTTCGTGGTGGCGGATGTTAATTTCGCCATACTCGGAGCAGATTTTCTCAGCCACTTCAACCTGGATGTGAGCGTACGTGACCGTTGCCTCAAGGATAACAACACATCCCTCAAAGTACGTGGTTTGGAGTCAAACATCTGCTCATCTGGCATCTGCGCCTTCCAGCCAGTATCAGCCTACCACCACGTCCTGGCCGAATTCCCCTCGCTCACCAAGCCCCGCAACACGGAACAGCCGGTGAAACATAACGTGACTCACCACATCGTCACCACCGGGCCGCCAGTCACCGCCCGGCCACGACGGCTGTCCAGCAAAAGGCTTCAAGCTGCACGCAGGGCGTTCGAGCATATGCTGCAGCTGGGAATTGTTCGCCCTTCGTCTAGCAACCATTCATCGCCGCTACACATGGTGCCCAAGGACGACGATTGGCGCCCGTGTGGTGATTACAGAGCATTGAACGCATCGACAACGCCGGACCAGTATCCTCTGCCACACATTCACGATTTCAGCGCGCGGCTGGCAGGTACGAAAATATACAGCAAGATCGACCTTGTAGCGGCATACCACCAAATCCCCGTCGAACCGCAGGACATACCAAAAACAGCCATAACAACTCCGTTCGGCCTGTTTGAGTTTGTCCGCATGCCCTACGGCTTGAAAAATGCCGCACAGACCTTTCAAAGGTTCATGGATGAGGTCACCCGGGGTCTTCCTTTCATCTTTGTCTACCTGGATGACATTTTGGTGGCCAGCAGAACGCCTGCGGAGCACGAAGAGCACCTCCGCCAGCTCTTTCAGCGTTTGGATGAGCACGGTCTGGTGTTGAAACCTCAAAAGTGCGTGTTTGGAGTAGAGGCGCTCAACTTCCTCGGCCACCACATCACTGCTGAAGGCATTATGCCATTGGAATCGAGGGTGGAATCCGTCAAGAAGTTTCCAGCTCCATCTTTTCGCAAGCTGAGGGAGTTCCTCGGGCTCTTAAACTTCCACCGGCGCTTCATTCCGTCTTGTGCTCGAGTGCTCCAGCCATTGACCGACCTGCTGCGCCGAGACGACCAAAAGGCACCAGAATTTTGTTGGTCTGACGAACACCAGAACGCTTTCCAGAAAGCTAAGGACGAGCTAGCCGCGGCTACCCTTCTCATTCATCCACGGCCTGAAGCTCCTACACGCCTCATGGTGGACGCT